AACCCCTCAACAGGTAAGATTGTGACAAAAGCCCACATTTCACAATTGAAACGATTTTTTCAACCAATTTATTAAATAAACGTCGTCAGAGTGCACAATAGAACCTTAGCCTAGTTTAATTAGTTATAAGTAAACATCTAGCAAGAAATCTCGAGTAACTTGACTGACTACAACAATACTTAGCAACAATACTTCTCAACAATACGGTACACAATACAACCCCGGCACCGGCTGATAAGAGTGTCGAGAGTTGAGTCTAAGGCGTGTCTTTACCGAGGGCACGCTTACAGTTCTAGGCGCACTACTTGGCCGGAACCGGGAAACCAACAACAACAATACATGGCAAGTTGGCAGCGAAACACGTCATAGTGTTTGTAATTAATATATGCATTTCAATACCCCAGTAATCAACAACCTTTTCAATCCCCTTAAAACCTACAATCTGAGCAAAAGACTAATTTTTTTTAAGAAATTTTTTATTTTTAATTTGCTCAAATTGGCTATGACGGGAATCGTTCGCCATAACACATTCTTATGACAGATTGCAACTGTCATATGAATAGTGCAGCCGACAGCTTACTTATGACAACAAACACTCACTAACAGTACTGGACTGAAAAATGACAACACATGAACGAGACAACTGACTACAGAACAAGCTAGACTTTAAACTATGGCAATTAGGCTAAGTAGAATTAAGTAAAATTAAGTATTTCTGTGTTAATATAAGCAATTTAATCGCAAAGGTAAATACAACATTTCATAAAAAGTATTAAGTAAGTAAAGTCATCCACGTATATTAAAATAAGATATATGGTATTTAGGCGTAATACAATCGTTATCAAAGTAGATAACAGCGCACAATACAATCCATATGTTTGTAAATAAAAGGCAGAATTCTGAGCGTAGAAGAAGAGTTATGTACTATATATTTGTAAAGGGTAATTTAAATGTTTATTATGTGTTATACACTTGCATGCGTTAAAATAAAATACAAAAATATATAAATATATTTATGTTGCTGAGCGACAGAGAAGAAATGGACTAGTAGGAAACAGACAATAGCAAGCGCCAGCCACGAGATAACACTGCCGTTATCAGTACAAACATCTGTTCCATTCAAACCTCTACTTCCGCCCTATTTAAATAATCAAACCAAGCACTGATCAATCCTTCACATTGAAGGAACATATTAAAAACAATATTTATTTAAAAAATTAAGTTGTGCTAAGCCGTCGGTGGAATAAATAATTATTATTTAATACCTCTGTGCATAATTCTTGATAATTGGCACTAGAGGAGCTTCGAATGAATTTACACTTACAATAACACTATCATTCCTTACATCAACCAACAGACTTTCGAAACTCCATTCAACCATGAATAGCATCCAAGCTGAAAGAGTGTATAATGTGTGTCACACTAGTTAATTAATTAATTATTAGTAAATCAACAGAAATTTAGTAATATATCTCCCAGTCAATCAAATCCATAGCATTTAAGTAAATAAACATTAGATTTTTTCCCTTTTATACTCAGTAAATTAAATTCTTTTTTTTTAAATTAAGTAGAACAATTTCTTATTATTAGTAAATTCATTTAGATCATAAGTATCAATAGTAAACTTAAGTAGAGTAGTCGCGATCAATTTTTACCGAATATCCAGGGAATATATCAGTGATAACTAACATCAAAATAATTAATCATCAATCAAAACAATCTCCAAATTCACATCTGAGTAAACGTATCATCAACCTCATATCAACTTCAAAACCCAACGCATTTCATCCATCATTAAGAGGCGTCCAGCGATATAATTAGCGCCCCGAATTTAGTAAGGGCTCAAGAGCTAATTACGAAATTACGTCACATCACATCACAACAGTATACCTTCAAGAACTTCAGAACACTACTCCAGCTTCATTCATCAGTTTACACAACTTCATTCTTCATTCTTCCAACTACTCAACTTCAAGAAACTCATCAAACTTCAGCAACCTTCCATATTTACCAGCAATTACCAGCAATAACCAGACTTCAATACATCCATCTAATTTCATCAACCTTCAGTATTTCAACAACATTCCCAAATTCATCATCAATCATATATCCAACTTCATCAGCCAACAGATCTTCTCAACCCAACTTAATTAAATCTATCACTGATATACGCCCGCCCACATTTCTTAGAGCAGGTTTAGATTAAGCAATCCCACCAAACATAGTTATAAGAAATTCATTCAAAACCATAGTTACCTTTAGTTTATAAAAAAAAAAAAAAAATAGTTAATAGTTTATAAGCAAGACCGACACACATTATAACCTCAAATGAGTCAAACCAAAAGGAGTGCAGAAAACTGTTGGAACATTTCCACACCGACATCGATGTCACAACGACACAATCTCACGGCGAGCACAATAAAAAAAAAAAAAAAAAAAAAAAAAAAATTTCTTCGTCCTTCATCTTTCCCAAACCCCAAAATCACCCCAAAACTAGGAAAAGAAAAAAAAACAACCCCACCGGGGGGAGGATGTAGCGGATCGCTACAATAGCGCAAGTCACATGACTACGATGCGCGCGCAGTCACCCGGGTAGGCACGCGCAGCGAACCAAGAGCAGTACAGTGTAGTGTCGAGCGCCTGGAGCTGTACATCTGATCGGATAAGTAGACTGTAACCTAAGATGTCTAGCTAATAGAAGTAGGGGTTGGGGAAAGGGTGTAGGTTGGGGCAAAAAGTAATTCAATCATGTAGTTTATTAGGTTCTCGAAGGGTCGTGGTCTGGCAATTAATATCGTAAATTAGAATTCACATTTGCTAAGTCTAGTAACCTTTTTCACGAATTAGAATAAGTCCATATATATATTTCTCTGTTCATTATATTATAATTAGATACATTAAGAACATAAAAGCTGGCTGTGATAGGCAGCTAAGGTAATATTGTGCACTTTGACGAGCTAAATTAATTCCTTGCAATAGAGTTGGGTTTCGACAGGAAATGTGCGTGATTTGGCAGTGGTTAGAGGAAGATATATAGGGCCCAGGTATCTTCATTTACACTCATACTACACCACATCATCACAAGATTAACACCTTTAGTTATAGATAGTCACCTGCAATATGGACACCCTCTTTAAATTTTGTATCAAAAATCATCATAGAGCCGCGCCGACTTTAAATACGTGAGCTTGCCTAATACAAAAGTTTACTTTATTGAAATTATTTCATTCTTTTTAGAGCGTTTGAAGTCGGTTGTATTTTTTTACAAAAATAAATTATTTCATGATTTTTAGTGACTGTATAATTTTTTATATATTATTTACTTGAGGATTTTTGATAAGCAAAACTGTTTGACACAATCAAAAGTTCCACAGAACAATCATTATTTTAAAACTGCTTGAGTCACCTGTTCAGGTTACATAATCAATGGGTATGAAAATAAACATTTTTAGATATTCCTTAAGAAGGAAAGAGTTGTCCATTACATTAGGCCTAATGAAAAACTAATTGTCTTTTCTAGATACATTACTGAAACATATATGTTTTTGTAAGTCAGAATATTCAATACTAATAACAGAATTACTGTATACACAAATCAGGTCAAACGTTAAAATACATTTTTTATAGTAACCAAAACAAAATGCATTTTTCTCAATGTAATTCAAAGGCTCCATGGCAAGAAATAGTTTATTGATCAGTATGAAGCAACTGTTTTATGAAGAATTGTCTGTAGCTTCATTTAAATGGTTTCAACTAACAGCTGTAGGAATGTTATTATTATTTATTGCCTTCTCTGCACAAATGTAAACAATCTGCACAAATGTAAACAAAACAAATGTTGAATATTTAAGGTTTTCAGAATATTTCACCGAAACAAATATTATACTTAAACATAATATATAAGGTACCAAATAGAAATTCTCCTGGTTATTTTGGTGGTGGAACCACACTGATCGGTAAAAGAATCACAGAGAAATTGGTGAACATACATAGAAAAAAAAAAACATCGCCACAAACAAATTGAGAACCTCCTCCTTTGTTGGTAGTGGGGAAGTCGGTTAAAAAACAAGATGTAGGCCTACTAAAATTCAAAGGAAATAAACTATTCAGGAAATCTTTGAATGGTTTCTTAAGGTACGGTAACACCAGAGCAAACAGAAGGGAACCGAACGTTCACTGGTATTCGCTGTGGTTTGCCAGCATTCGCAAACACCTGAGAATTTGAGTAGTCACACCAGAGTGAACGCACATGAATCGTCTAAGATTGAAACGTCGTTCGCTTAGCTCCGGCCATCATTAGAACTCCACGGAGACCATAATCATGGACGAGTGCAGTGGGGATGGAAATAGTACAACTAAACAAACTACCTAAACAACTCTGTTGATAGCAGTAATGTAGAAACAGGTAAGTACCAGACTGGATTCATTCCAATGTGGTCACACTGAAGCAAGCACTGAACTCGAGTGAACCTAAATTTCCTTTGATCATTCGCTAAGAAACCGACAATGAATGGAGCAGGCGCAAACATGCGACTACCGAGCACTGCCAAACCTGGCCGATTGGTGTTTGTTGCCGCTCGAGGCGTCGGTCACACCAAAGTGAATTACGCATTCGTTACTGTTTGTTCACTCTGGTGTATGGTATGCTCTTGTACCTGTATGGTTTTAGAAAATGGAAATTAAAAAAAAAAAATGAGTGCCAGAATTCTTTTAAAATCTGTGAAAACATAAGAAAGTGTATTTAAAAGATACACCTTTCAAGCTAGGTGTAAAATATTGTAGTCAAATTGCTAATGAAAACCTATAATATTCGAATTTATAACAATTTTACTACAAAAAATATATATATATAGATTCTTAGAGACGCCATGCAGTTTAGAACTTTTCTGTATTGAAATGAAGGATACACAATCCCATTTTATTAATACATTTAAATACTGAGTCTGCCTATGATTAAGTTTTTATAACAAATTAAAATTTTTTATAAGGATATACCTTACCTTGTCCTCACATTCTACAAACACATCTTCAAAGAAGTTGTCATAATGCTCTTGCATTTCCTCGTCAGATACATTGCTGATCACTAAAACAAAGAGGCAACAAGTTATGTTTAAAAACTCTTGCAGAAGCCCATAATCAAATACTGGACAAGTTTCTTCAAGCAAAAATGCTAATAAGCTTTCAAAGAACTGCACCTAAAGTACTGGGGTGCCGTTGAGGTATTGGCAACCAAGCATGAGCGTAAATAAATTCTTGAAATATATATTTAAGTACATGAGTAACTTATGCTAATGAGATTCATAAATTCAAATAAACTATAAGAGCATCAGTGCAAAAGACAGTCAACAAATATCCTTAAAACATTAGAAATAATTAGTACGAGGTAATATTTCATTTCAATATATCTAACTCCCTCTAAGGCGGCAAAATAATTAAATCATTATCCTTGATCGTACGACATAACGATCATCACCCGCAGTTACAATAACATTGTGAATTCTTAACTGTGCAATCTTCCCCAAAACTTTCTGCAATTTGAGACAGCATGCAAACAAATTTGTGTAATCCCGTGTTGTATGTTGCTTAAAATATAACAAATGAGATCACAATTATTACTTATCATACAATGTTTGTATTCATGATTTAAAATTTAGAAGGATGATGTTAACATTAACTACAACTTATTGAAATATTTATTTATCCATTTATTTAACATCGTCACATCACATAAATTCTTTTGACAGGTGATTTGTCACAAAGTCTAATACTACAATGATAAATCTAAATAATAAAATAGGTTACAAAAGAAATAAAGCAATCAATAGGCTACTTGATGGGAGAAGTAATATCTTTCAAATATACACATCTTCCAGATATTCTTCTAGTGAGTAAAATGCCATCTCCAAAAGAATTTTTTTTAATATAATTTAAATTTAGAGAATGAGGCAATGTTTGTAATCTCAGCGTGTAATTTGATGTACATTTTTGGCCCCATATACTGAGGAAGTAAATGAAAGATTAGTCCCCTATGGAAACCGGCCTGTGGGGCAGAGCCCTAAGAGAATTTGTTCATACCAATACTTTTCGGCAAATCTACACAATCTGAGCTTCATTTTGATGTGCCATATGCCTATAATTTTATTTGGTTAATGGCCTTAACCATTTGCATAAAATTTGATTGTATCACTTTAAAATAGATTGACGATGGTACTGTAAAGCTGTCGAATAACCATATAGCCTAGTTAATTCATCGTTGTTTATTAATTAATGTTTTTATAATTGTTTTCTAAATAAATATCTACAGACTGGTCCCAGTCCCAGAGCGGGTTTGTGTTTTATTTGTAAGGAAACTTTAAGTGAAGCTGAAGTGCTGTTAAAGGAAAGATAGGTGTAAAAACCTGCATTGCACCGTTTCTCTTAAAAACCGAGAAAATAAGCATTTACTGAAGTGAGATATATGTGCACAGTGCTTATTAGATGAAATGCAACAATTTGAAGTTGATCCAAGCAGCTATTTGCAGTGGAGATTCAAATGTTGCAGCATCAAGGGTTACAAGATCAGTAACAGAGCAGTTAAATTTCAGAGAATACTGTTTTCTCTGTGGAGACCAAATAGCTGGAGTTCTTTGTGTCTCAAAGGTGATAAATATAACCGGAGGTGAAAATAAGAAATGTAAAATATTTAGAGGAGGAGGGGGGTGATCTTTGGGCCCCTCAAACCTCTTTAAAATCCCCTAGAATATTATAGAAGGGCATTTCCCGAAGACGCAGGGTGAAAATTAATAAAATATTGCTAAAAATTGCAAAGTTTGAAAATACCAGTATTAATAATGTTTGAAAGACTGCATCAGGTAAATATTAAGTCTGCAGATACGGTTTTTGTATCAAAGTGTAGGGAATTTAGCCCACTTCAAACCCAGTATTCATTAAAAAAATTAGTCCTTCAGGGTTACAATTGCCAAAAACTAAAGTAAAGTTGGAAATTTCACTGATTTTTGACAAGGTTGCGTTCGGCGCCCAAGGTCTCAAACTTGGATTATTCATTGGGCCAACATCATGAAGCATGAAATCAGAACTACCGGATTTGACGCAAGGTCTGATGTATTAGGTTACTGGACGAGACAATTGCTTAATCGCAAACTAATAATGCAGTATGTAAACTATTGTAACTATGGTAATTAATGTAAACATATTGAAACAAGAATAAATAGAGCATCAACCAACTTACAATGAGATCCATCTGCAGATTTTGCTGAGTTTTGAGGGTTCACATACAAATTCTGAAGCAAAACTGTCTGTAAAAAGAAGCAAAGGACAATAATTTGTTATTAGCCTAAACTGTTAATAATTGTTAATTATTATCAGATATTTTGAGTAGCCTACACCATCAATCAAAGTTGTTTTAAACTAAGATGAGGAAGATAAATACTAAAATGAAAAATTCAAGCTTTAACAAATATTTGTTTCACATTCAGAGAATTGTGCAATAGATATTTTTATGTTTTGCAAAGAGAAGAATCAACTATTTGGATCCTTCCTTCCGCAATGTTATAGCCTAAATTAAATTTGACAGTATCACTGCAATACAATTCAGAAATCGGAAAGCATCTAACTAATAGCTGACAGTCAATAGCATATAGTCCTCGCCACCCTAAGTTGAGGCAGCCCAAGGCCGCACGGCGTATATCTAGTGCGGCCTTTGGCTGCCTCAACTTAGGGTGGCGAGGACTATAGCAATATGACAAAAATACCCATTTAAAATAGCTATTGTATCCAAACTTCAATGATCTCTAATCTCATCCAAGAACAGGCTATTCTTTCCTTCACTTAGTCTTGAAATATATCATAAATATTTTATCATAAAGATCACCAAATATACTACCTAACTAAATCACATCAAAATGGCTCTATTCTGATTAGGATTGTTGAGAACTTTTGAGTGTGTTAAATGAGGAAGGCAAATTATTCCCAAGTTGGTTTCATACACAAACCTAACTTATTTATTAGGCTATATTTAAAAAATGTTAACCGAAAATAGCTTAATAACGAAAAAAAACAACACTAACAAAAATAACAAAGACGCTTAGAAATGTGACTGCAGAAGAATTATTAAATGTTGACAGTAGTTTTTTTTTTTTTTTTTTTTTTTTTATGGGGAGGAGGTAAAAATGCATTTACGCACACTGAGGTGCTCAATGGCCACCCATTAGTAAATGTTGACAGTAGTAAAAGAATAGCTAATGAAAAGACGTGGTAGTAGACTAACTTAAGTAGATAGAGCATTTCTAAAAAGTAGCAATTATACTTCATTAAGATTAAGTTTTTCTTCTTTGTATTTTTCTTGTAAAAATGGTGCAACCGTTTATAAATAAATAAAATAAAAGTTGAACGCTGGGCACGTAACACTATCGTGGTTGCATCAAATTGAAGACTATAAGAGTAGCCCTAGGCCTACTAAAAATGCTTAATTCTAACCTGACTGAAGGTCGGCTTGTTGTGTATCCGAGAGCATCTGTCACCATGGCGACATGCTCCGATCTTGAAGTAAAATGAACAATTGACTCTGAAAATAAGAAAAAACACTTAGTAAAATTGAAGGCAGCATTGCATGCAAATCTTCCCTACTGTATAAACATTCACAGGTCTTCCTACTAAAGGAAAAAGAAATTGGATAGGCCTACAGTTCCGCAATCTGAGTACAATATAGGCCTATTATCGTAAGAAATTTTTGCGAGAAATGCGCGGACATTATAGGCCTAGTTCAGTTTAGCCTTTACCTTTGCTCCGATCTTGAAGTAAAATGACCAATTAAGTCTGAAAATAAGAAAAAACACTTGGTAAAATTGAAGGCAGCATTGCATGCAAATCTTAATACTGTATAAACATTCACAGGTCTTCCTAAAGGAAAAAGAAATTGGATAGGCCTACAGTTCCGTAACCTGAGTACAATATATCGTAAGAAATGTTTGCGAGAAATGCACGGACATTGTAGGCCTAGTACATAGCCTTTACCCGCAAGAAATTACCTCAAGTGCCTTTTTAAGCTTCCTGGATCTGATGTGGATTTGATTAGAAGAGATGTCTTTCAAAGAAGGTGGTATAATGGGCTAGAATTTTCACATTGAAGTTATAGCAAAGCAGGAGTGGGTGATATTAATAACTTATGGCAATGATTTGAATTCTAAATAAATACCGTACCTGAATGATTTTTTAAACTTTGTTAAGGGTTGCGATTTGCAGTCCTAATTACTCGGATTGATTTTAAATGTTCCTAAAATTCGGCAGAAATTCAATTGTATTAATCTAAGTTATAAAAACAGTTTTTTGCTAATACTGAACTTATAATGTACTACTTAATTACATTTATTCTACAACATTATTAACAAAACCTGGGCTATTTTAAGCACTCCTCTGGCACTTTAGGGGGAAAATGCCTTTTTCACTCTGAAGAATCGGTTTAAATTGCTAAAAATCGGTAATTTTCGGCGCTTAAAAGAAATAGTTTAGGCCCTATAAAATTTATCTAACTTGATAGCAGTTTCTCAGAAGACTGGCTAGTTGCAAGTTTAACTTGTGGCTTTGGGAGTGGGAATTTTTGACAGGGGACAGTTTACACCCCACATTTACTAATACAGCGCTGTTTGGTTAGGTTAGGTTAGTTTAGAACAGTTTCATTTTATCAGCTGGTAAGTAGTTAATGTATAATAGTAAATGTGGGGCGTAGGCCCTAGAAACTAAAGCGTAACCGTCAGGGATTTTCTCCCTAAATAGCCTAATCCTTGAAACTTATTTCCCCTTGTATGTAGCCTAGCTTTGAGGAGTTGGTAGCCTATACGTTGCTATAATGTGTACTCTTGTCCAAGGAATAAGTTATGTGTCCTGTATCCAAGGAGTTCCTAATTGAATTAATTAAGGAATCCCAAACCTTAGCCTGGTCATGCACATTTCCAAGTTCTGCTACCTATGCCATTATAGCCTAGTTTAGTTGTTTTAGGCTTATTTGCTTCACTTCCAGAACAGCTAAGCCTAATCATCAAGAATAGTGGTGATTAGTTTTTTAAAACGTTTGCTGCTGACCGCTAAATGCCGGGAGGGTGCCAGGAGCTGAACTAACGCTTGCCGCTGCTTAACATTGCAGCCGATACACTGAATTACAGTAAAAACAACAGTAGTTATACTGGATGGCAATGTTCTGCAATAAAACTGGCTTTGGACATACTACAGTACTAAGTGATTTTGATAGATAGCAGCACTACCCAGGTTGCAGTCGGTAAAGTAGTGTCACTATCTAGCAGGAAAGAGGTGGGACAAAGCCCTGTTCTAAACGACCCTGGTGGCGATTTTGGGAAACTATTTTTTTATTGTCAGAAAAGTACGTCCCCACGAGCTGCAAAGAAATATAGGACGCTCGTGACGAGCTGGCTGATCCATGGTAACGTTAAACAACAATGAATAGCGACGTTCCGGAACGTTCCTAGCTCCTGGCGCCGTGGCCCCTTTGACGTTCCGGAACGTAGCAGCATAGACAAAAATAATTAAATATAGACAGTCAGCCGTGATGCGGTTACCATGGTAACCATAGGTTCTGGCGCAGACCACTGGAAGCGCCCGTGTGTAGGCCTAAGATAAATTTTGATTGGTCATTAAATAACAGATGTTACAAAAATCTTTTGAAAAACACAGAACTATATACAGAAACAAAAAGTGACGTACCGTACTTAAACAAAGTGTTTGAAAAAAAGTTGTTTGAAAGTGATTACAAAAATAACACACTCTATACTCCGTTCAAACAGCCGTGGCACCTGACGGATTTGGACACCCCATGGAAACCCTTGGGGCCTCCTAATCCCTCAGGTGCCACGGCGGTCTGAACGCACTATATTATATACAAATTTACAGTTGTCAGGATACCTGTTGCTTTAAAAAGAGGTTTACAATGGTCCCTTAACCCTGAATTGGTCAACAGTCTTACAGCCTTTTTTTGAAGCTTTAAAATTATTAGAATGTGGGTGGAGTTACCCCACAGTAACAGACCATACTTTAACAGATTTTTATAAAAAGCAAAATACGCAGATCTAACATACAAAGGAGGAACAAAATATCTTAGACATCTAATTAAAAATAAAACTCTTTACAATTTCTTACTTAAGTTATATAGGCTAAATGGGTTGACCAGCTTAAGTCACTATTCAAATCTATGCCTAATAAATTTACACTTGACGAAAAATTATTTTCTTCCTCAGTGTGTGCGACCTAACCTAAAAACAATAGTTCGAGTCTTTTCAGGATTCATAAAAAACCCATTGACACTGAACCAGTTCCTAGCTTCATTGAGGGAAAGTTTGGACAGCACCATGAGTTCACTAGGCCTACCTTGACTATTTAAGAAAGTGGAGTCATCCGCATAAATCACAGAGGTAGCCTACAGGTCATACATTTTTCCAAATCATTAATCATTATAAGGAAAAGAACAGGGCCTAACACCGAGCCCTGGGGCACTCCGCAAAAAACCTCAATCTCATTTGACAATACACCCGCAACATCAACCTGCTGCCTGCGGTCTGATAGGCTAAGTAAGACTTAAAAAGATTGAGTTCTGTGCCACGGGTACCGTGGTACTCAAGTTTATTCAAAAGTTAACCATGGGGAAGGGGAACACAATCAAACGCTTTACTTAGGTCAACTAGAGTTGCCTGAGTAAGAGAGGCGTTTTCATAAGAATTTAAGTTAGCACATGCTGCACCAAGCGCCTTACCGCATCCGTGGCACATCTACCCGTTCGAAACCCAAATTGCCAATCAGATATTAGGCCATGGTATTCAAAAAACTTCATTAATTGCAATTTTATTATGGTTTCGAACACTTTGCCGATCACAGGAACTAACAAAACATTGCCGAGCGCTTCAAGTGGTGTGCGCCAGAACCTATGGTAATCGCAGCACAGCTGACGGTCTATATTTAATTATTTTTGTCTAGGCTATGGTAGCAGTGAACGTGTTAAGAAGCCTAAAACAATAGGCCTAGGCCTAACGTTATCATAACCATGAAAATAAAGAAGGTTATAAGGTAACTTACTTGTCTTTTTCTGTTCCGAAAATAGATGCCAAGTACTCAGCCATTTGGCAAATAAAGTCAAATCAATCAACAATGATGAATGTAGCCTGCAGGCATAAATAAATAAATTGAATTGGTCTGTCCTGAGATACACTAATACACTTCACTTCGGTGTTATTCCCAAATAAATGGCGACCGGCGAAAAGAAGAAGTATAAATTGGATTGGAAACACAAACACGAAGTCGATCCGAAGCGAGCGTTTCAGGGCAGGAATTGGACTAGCCTACTGCGCATGCGCAAACCGTAAAATTGAGCTGATCTCAAATGAACGACTCTCACACAATTGAAGCAAAAGAGTTGTTTACTGTTATGTCGTTCTGTTATCTGTCTGCCCCTGCCCCTGCCGTGCCCCAGCGATTGTAGTGTTCAAAGTCTTTAAGGTGTGTTTTTTTTTTTATAATTTGAGGTTTTATAGAAGTATTGTATGTTTTTAAGTCGGATTTAAGTGTATAAAGAGTGTTTATTGTTATGCGTTCTACCGTGCCATCCCCGTGCACCCTTGTAAGTTAAAGTTAGTTTTTATACTGTAGGCCTAATCTTTAAAAGTGTTTGTTGTGTTTTGTTCCAAGTGTTGTCCAAATAAAACAAGGATACAGTTTCTTAACTGGGCTACACTAATATCGATTGAAACTATCGATTAGTAAACTGCGATTTTTTCACCATCAACAAGTTTGGTTAGTTAGGTTAGGTTTTTTAGATTAATTTTTAATAGACATTATATTTTAAAATATCGATTGGCTGCACTTTACTTGACGTCCTACACTCATTCGATTGTAAATATCGATCGATATATCGATTAATCGATTGCTTCATTCGATATATCGTTTGGTTAGTTTGGTAAGGTTAACCTAACCTAACTAACCAAACGATATATCGAATGAAAGAATCGAATGAAAATATCGAATCGAAAAAACCAATCGAATGAGTGTAGGACGTCAAGTAAAGTGCAGCCTATCGATTATTGATCAGTATTTCAATTCGATAGTTCCAATCGATATTAGCGTAGCCCAGTTAAGAAACTGTTGTACCCCTGTAGGGTCACACAGTTAGGACATGGTTAGGACTACCGACATTTCCCATAAACATTGCAAAAGGACGAATCTTAAAATTATATAAGAACTGTCTAGGCTGTGTGGTAAAAGGCACTTACAAAATAAGTTACCAAGCGGTGTAACTTTCATATTAGAAACCCTTGGGTGAGTTGCATAAAGGCCTAATCTTTAGGTTGACACATTTAAACCTATAGCCTGTAAACCATTAACTGTTTGGAAAAAAGTTTATGACATAGACTATGGTCCTTAAGCCAATTTAATGTGTAGGCTAACTAACTAACATTTAAATAACTTAGGCCTTGGCTAGGCTTTGCATTACCCTGGCGTAGGGCAAGGCTAGGTTCCGCTATCGATAGACAGGCCTACACTATAGTACCCTATTAGGTTACTATATTATATTGGGTCTCTCACTCTTTGGCAGTTTCCTGTTAAAGGGAACATTCATTATTAACTTATCGATGATTTCTTTTCGATATAAGCTTATCAATATTTTTGTTTTACTTCAAGATTCATTACTTATTCCTTCTGTTATCTTCAAACACATTTAAATTATCTACTAATTTAGAAGTAGGTCGAACCTTGTTTAGGTAAACATTTAATAGCCTACTTTATTGGATTATAAAATCGAACTAAGCTAATCTAACCTAAGTTATAACATAACTAACCAAACTTGCTGTATAGGCTATGTTACCGTTTCAAAATTCCGTTTAATAACAGAAAAGGAATGGGGAGTGGCTGTTTAACGGACAGAAAAATAAAATTTTGATATTCGAAAAGAAATTACTGTAGCCTATCTATAATTAAATGTTCCCTTTAACAGGAAAGTACCCATTCTTTACATTATACCATAGACAAAAAGAATTAAATATAGACCGTCAGCTGTGCTGCGGTTACCATAGGTTCTGGCGCACACCGCTTGGAGCACCACGGTAGTTACGGCGTACGCGCTACTTAAACTACAGCGGTGTGCGCCGGAACCTATGGTAACCATGGCAACCGCAGCACGGCTGGTAGTCTGTATATAATTCTTTTTGTCTATGATTATACTTGCTACTCATACACACATATAGTCTCTAACTTAATAAGACTGCTGTAACCTTTTGAAAGAGGCATTTCCTCGCGCTGTTGTAATAGTCAGAATATTAAAACATCGTTTGTTTAATTTAAATAGCGGTTTGTTTGAAATTATTTAGAGTAACATGGCCATGAGAAACATGCTATTTGAAACTCCAACGACAGGAAAATATATGTTAAGTTTTATAAACGATTAAATTGTAGGCTAGTTATTTGTAGCGGCCAAAAACTGTTGTCCCGTTACCTACTTTTAGGAATAAACAATCTGTCCTCTACTTAGTGATGTAAAAATCATTATACAGGTTGTTATGGTCATATTATTATAAAGATCAAAATAACTAGGCCTACAATTTATTCTTTAGTTGGGGTAATTTTGATGAAACAAATAACAATACATTTACAGTCTCTATTTTATGCTAGAATGTTTTACTATAAACAATGTAGGCTATTAAGAACTGCAGTAAAGTCCTTTTGAGAACCTGCAATATCAGTACCTTCAATATATATTGGGTGAAATATCAGTTTGTTATACAAATAGTACTTTATATTATTCAAGTACTTATTTATATTACTCTATATTTTATGGGTATTTAAACAAGGTTAGTTCAGTTTGGTTTAGTTTATGTTAATAAAAACCAGGTAACACCTAAATAAATACAAATTGTTCCAATAGCATCATCATTGGGTTGGGTTAGTGTTGTACAGTTTTCTATCAAAACTGATTGTCAAAAGCGCCAAATTATACCTAGTCGTGTCTTTTCATGAGTAACTTAGCTTATAGAAAAAAGCTAAACGTTTTGTTAATGATACCATAGACTAACCAACACAAGTAGACTTCTCATCCCATTGTAAATTTTGAAGCACGTTTTTCGTGTCTAGTTCATGTACGTGGCACAAAGGCGCTAGTGTCGATGAAACTTTGTTTCAATTATTTTAGGATTAATTTCTTGATTTGTGCTTAACTGTTTGGTTATATAACTAGGGGACAAGTTATTGTTTATGATTAGATCGTATTATTTGGTTAAACGAGGTTTTAAATGGCTGTAATAACGGGAAACAAATTGTAAACAAAACACGACCTCTACATAAACCGTACATGAACTAACAATAAAATTGTCTTCAGCTGTTCCATAAGGATGAGAAATCAACTAAGGGAGTATGTTTTATCTATGATGATACCTTGTTTGTTTATAAACTATAGGCCTACCACTTTCAAAAGAACCTGCGCAGAACCATGGCTGTCTCGCGCATGTAGGGGTGAAGGGTGATGGTGGGGAAGGGCCTGGAGCAGTAATGGGGATGAGTCGTTGGGGCGAGGTGTCTTTCCCCACCACTCTGACTCTCCTGCTGTCCTGCATGCACGACTCATACAGGTGCGTGGTTTTTTTCTATGTGGTAGGCCTATAAGCTAACATAACCTAAACGCCGCAATGGTCTGTAAAAGATTGGCGGGTGGTCCTCTTTTTAAAAAGACCCATAGGCTAACAGATTAATAAGCAGGCCTATTCCTTAATCAATATATTTTATATAAATTTGAAGCTATTGTCAGTAGGCCTATTAATTTATAGAAACTGAAAATTTGATAGGATAGTATAATACATTAAAGTTTCTCTGCAGAACTTTACCCCATAACATTGCTGTTGCAGTGCAATGTAATTTTCAGAATCAGTCATCTTCGCTTTGTATTTAGGCTAAGTAAAATTGATTGTCCTTGCTGCATATTAGGGAACATTATTACTATGTTTAATAGCCATGATAAGGTACAGTAGACTCCCTCTTATTCGGACACCTTTTAACCTGACATCGGTTAAACCAGACAACACTCGGTGGAAATTGCATCTCTTAAGGCCTATTTTGCTTGGAGCGACTGTAGCGATAGTCGCACAGCGATTTTCGCTCAGCTACTATAGCTGACAAGGCGGGCGTTTTGCTTAGAGCGATTGATTTTCGGTCGCACAGCGATTTTTCATAGATATTTAAATATCAGCACTCACAATGGTGAAGTCATGAGTGCGAATTGTAAGTCATTAAAGCGTCTCCTCGGTGAGGATTTAGGAGACGAGGCTCCACTCGACCCTAGTGGAAGTATCAATGGACGATCGATTGAAAATACATAGTGATACGTAGGATTAGGGACGGATACGTATCACTAGAGGTCACTAGATAGGACATAAATAGAAAACTGTAGTGATATCATTGAAAAAATATATTTATATAAATAAAAAAATAGTGATATCAATAAGAGTACATGAATGTCGGAAAATAAAACCTGGAGTCTAAATTTTAAAAAAAGTATTCATACAAAAACTGACACAGTATTAACGCCCACACTACGTAAATAACACATAACAACTTGGATCAGTCAAGCATTTTATATTTAATAAATTTGAATAGACGTAAATTACCTTAACAAATTTAAACAAGTCGCCTGTTTCTACTAAAATTTAATTTAGAAAATGAAATTAATGTGTAATGGAATATAACCAAAACAGTAGAATCGTAACAGCACATGAATAGAAAAATTAATGTGAACAAAAAAGTAAATTATGGTTAATTTAACCCCTATTATGTGCCTACTGAGTGAACTGCACTGTTTTGAGGTTCTGCGCATCAGTCGCGGCGCGATTATCGCTCAGACTGGTCCCCGGGGCAGTGGTCCACGACTGTAGCTAGCGACTCTTGCGATAGTCGCTCCAAGCAAAACAGGACAACGCAAACTCCGTCAGAGCAGTGCCCGGCTACTATCGCCACGCGACTATCGCTGCAATCGCTCCAAGCAAAATAGGCCTTTAACCGGGCAATTTTTATCAGTCTTGTGTTAAGGATATGAGAACAGTGATTATGCTCTACTACATTTTAGTCAAATACTGTATATACAGTATGCATTTAAACGGTCAGTTTTAATGAGTTTGTGGGACGTCAGTTTAACGAGAAAACCCATTATCCGGACTGACCTCGGTCCCGAGAGTCTGGATAAGAGGGAGTCTATTGAACTGTACATTTTACTAT